GCCCGGTGGCTCCCGGGCGTCAGCTGCACTGCACCCGGACAGGTCCCCGCAGCGGCGGCAGGACTGCTTCGGCTGCCGGTCGCCGAGATGCTCAGGCTGCAGAGGGGAATATTGGAGGAGTCTCGATGTGGGAAAGAGCGCAGCAGCTTAGGTCCCCAGAAGTGAATTCCCGGGCAGGGCGCGGCTGCCGGTGCCGGGGACAGGCAAACAAAACCCTCAGGCAGGTCGGGGCAGGAGGCCCGGGGAGGAGGCCCGGGGAGGTGAGGGCTCCGTGAGGGTGGCTCCTCCAGGCGTGATGGTCCCTTCCGGAGGAGGGAGAGGCGACCCTGTGCAGGGACAAGGTAGCTGGTCCTGTTGGGCAGCTCACCCTGCACAAGACTGGTTTGCTTTGTTTTCATTGCATCAGAGATGAAAGAGGTAGGCAGAGTGAGCTCATCTTCTTCTTCTTATGGTAAAATGTACACAATATAAAATTTACCATCTTAACCAGGTCTGACTAGGTATATGGTGCAGCGGCAGTGAGCACATTCATGTCAAATTGTTGTGCGGGGTCCCCACAGCTCACCCGCAGAATCCCTTCACCTTCCCAAACTGAAACTCTGCACCCCTTACTGGTGAACTCCCCCTCCCCAGCCCCTGGCACCCACCATCCCCCTTCTGTCTTTGCATTCCCTGGGTTTTCATGTGTGTTGTCACCTCTCTAAGGAGATGGTGGACACGCCTGCGTGTACCCCACCTGTAGCCCACACACAGCCCAAGTGTGCACCCCGGCCTGGGCCCATAATCCCCCTCCAGCGGATGGCCATCTCTTTACAGCTCTGCCATTTCCATGGTCAACCTTAAAACTAAGAACATGACCAAGTCCTGGCACACAGCGGCGCTGGCATCCCTATTTCCATTTTACGGACGGTCTGGAAGGAAGATCTCGCGACCCAGTCCCTCCTTCCAGTGCCCTTCAGGCCTGTCTGGATTGTGGCTCGTGGGTCACTTCATGGGTGAACCCCCAGGACCCTGTTTTTAGCAGGTACTGTCTGGGTCACCCCCGTGTCCCACGGGCCCGGCCAGGCAACAACAGGTGGATACCTGGGTTGTTGAATGTGCGTGTGAAACACGGCCACGCGTGCAAAGATACCCATCATCGTTAATCATCAGGAGAATGCACATCAAGCTGCAGTGAGATCCCACTTTACGCCCACTATGAAGGCTAGAATCAAAACACAGACAAGGACAGGTGTTGGCGAGGACGTGGCAAAGTTCGAGTTCTTACAGGTTGCGGGTGGGATGCAGCCAGTGTGGAGACTGGCTGTTTAAACATAAAGTTACCATATAACCTGAATTCTACCTCCAGATACATACACAAGAGGAAGGGCAACAAGTATGTAACGCAAACGTTCACAGCAGCAATATCAACAGTAGTTAAAAAGTGGAAACCGGGGCTCCTGGCTGGCTCAGTCGGGGGAGCATGGGACTCTTGATCTTAGGGTCGTGAGTTCAAGCCCCGCGTTCAGTGCATTGAGCATCTGCCTTCGGCTCGGGTCATGATCCCAGAGTCCTGGGATCCAGTCCCGCATCGGGCTCCCTGCTCAGCAGGAAGCCTATTTCTCCCTCTCCCTGTCCCCCTGCTTGTGTTCCCTTTTCTCGTTGTCTCTCTCTCCTTGTCAAATAAATAAAACCTTAAAAAAATAACAAGTTATTTAAAAAAAATAAAATAAAATCTTTTTAAAAAAAGGTGGAAACAGCCCAAATATCCACCAAGAGATGACGAACGGACAAGCAAAATGTGGTCCATCCATGCGGTGGAATATTGCTCAGCTCTGAGAAGGAGGAAAGCACTGAGGCGCTACAACGTGGATGAAGCTTGGGAACTTCATGCTCAGTGGTGGGACCCAGTCACAAAAGGCCACGCATTGTAGGATTCCAGTTCTAAGAAATGTCCACAATTGGTGAATCCAAGAGAGAAGGCAGACTGGTGGTTGCTGAGGGCTGGAGAGCAGGGGCATGGGAGACACTGCTCAGTAGTTAAGGGGTTTCTTGGGGGGGGGGTGCAAAAGTCTAAAATTAGATTATGGTGGTGGGTGCACAACCCTTGGAAGCAACTACAACTCATTGAATTGTATACGTTAAATGGGTGGATTTTATGGTATGTGAATTATATCTCAATAAAGCTGTTAAAGTAATAGCATTTTAAAAGCATGGCCATTCAGGGGCGCCTGGGTGGCTCAGTTGGTTAAGCGACTGCCTTCGGCTTGGGTCATGATCCTGGAGTCCCGGGATCGAGCCCCACATCGGGCTCCCTGCTCAGCGGGGAGTCTGCTTCTCCCTCTGACCCTCCCCCCTCTCATGTGCTTGCTCTATCTCATTCTCTCTCTCAAATAAATAAATAAAATCTTTAAAAAAAAAAAGATAAAAGCATGGCCATTTTGCCACTTTTCATGTCTTTTTAAGCATCTTCCCTCTGAGAGAGGCTGAGAAGGAAAGATGTGCAGTGTGAACACCGGTGTGCGGGAGATGGGAGGGGGGCATTCTGTCTGGGCTACTCCGGGGAAGAGGGGGTTGGGGGTAGGGTCATGGGCTAAGCCCTGGGTGAGGAATTGGGTCAGACGGCTTCTGGTTTCTCTCTGAAGGAGGCGGAGGTGGGGAGCCACCTGTAGAAGGAGGAGGCCTCATGCGGGGTGATCTGTGTTCTCTCTCAGCCCCTGAGGACCCAACGAAAACCTGCTAGGCTGGAGGGGCCAGCCTGGCATTCTTGAAGACGCTCCTCCTCTGCAAGGGCAGGTGCCCTCCTGCAGGCAAACAGCCTCCTGGACACCCCTCCACACAGGGCCGGCTGCAAGGCGCTGGGCATTTCTGACACCCTGTGCCGGCTGACTTAGGCTGGGGCAAGGCAGACCTTGTGAACTTCCTGGGAGCATGTTCTGGTGGAGCACTCGATGCTAATAGCCGATCCTAGCTAAGGTCCGTGTTCCTGTGCACCCTCATACCCCACAGTGACTACGCCTCCCTTGTTTTTTTTTTTTTTTGTTTTTTATTAGACCTTTATTAAGTCTACTTTTATAATGTCTGATATTGCAGTTTGACCTCACAGTTAATTATTCTTTTTTTTTTTTATTCTTATGTTAATCCCCATACATTACATCATTAGTTCTAGATGAAGTGTTCCATGATTCATTGTTCGTGCACAACACCCAGTGCTCCATGCAGAACGTGCCCTCCTCAACACCCACCACCAGGCCAACCCATCCTCCCACCCCCCTCCCCTCTAGAACCCTCAGTTTGTTTTTCAGAGTCCATCTTCTCTCATGGTTCGTCCACCCCTCCGATTTCCCCCACTTCATTCCTCCCCTCCCGCTACGCCTCCCTTGTTTTTAACTACAGACGGTATTCAGCAGGCAGGGAGCTTGGCCTGGCTCACGGGAGCCTGGAACTGGAAATGCAGAAGAGCAGAGGCTCTTGTCTCTCACCTGCATGTGCTTCTTTTCCCCAAGGAGCCTGTCTGTGAGTCTGCCCAGCCGGGCCTTAGCTGATCATTCAGTTCAAGCTTCCAGGACCGCCTGACCGAGGCAGTTAGTATCCGTGTGCCCGGCAGGCCCCTGGGGAAACAAAGACAGGGGCCCCCTGCCCAGAGAGTGGCTGGAGGCCCGGGGGCGGATCACAGGGTTCTCTCCAGGTGGATCTGATAGAGGTGGCCCAGGAGCCCCCTTCAGGAGGTAGAGCCTGAGAAACTCCCATCAGAGTCTGAGGCCTAAGAAGGAAGGGCCTCGGAACCAGTCTCCTCACTGAGTTGGGGATGGTGAGAAATGGTGTGAGGTGAGGGTTCATGCAGTCACCAGGAGAGAGAATCCAGAGGGTAGATAGGAAGATTCTAGAAGCGGAGCTGGTGGGGGGTGGGTGGCCTGGAACTGAGGCAGAAGTCACTGGAGGTGGGCTATTCGGGGTCTGGGCGGTTAAACGGCGTCCCGTGTGGTTCTCAAGCCGTAGCATCCAAGCGGTTGGTGCCCTTCCTGAGCCCAGGAATCTGCATTTCGACAAGAACATCATGTAATACCTCTGTTCACCCGTGATGTGTGGTAGTGTTGGGCCAGGGTCAGAGCGGGCACCACGATGCTGGGACTTTTGGGGAGAGGAAAAGGAAGGCTTAGTCCTGTTGGGGGGGGGGGTCGCAAATACTACAAATTCCCAGTAGGACGCAACTGGGAGACAAAGCTGTGTCCGCTGACCTAGGATAGGAGAAGCGTCGTAGAAAGGGGAATACCCAAACGCTTTCTGGAAGAGGGGCTAATATTTATTATTTCCACTTTCGTTCATCTCCACAATAACCCATGCAAGGCAAATATTGTGACCCATGTCAACTTCACGGAGTTGTTTGAGATCGCAGCACAGGGCCGGGAGCAGGGCGTCCCACTGAGGAAATCCATCA